TACTAAAGGCTAAAGGTATCTAAAGTTTCCTGTTGCTAAGCCTAGTGGCTGCTGACGATCACGGAGAAACTTAGCGTCTTTTGCAGCAGCAGCAGCCTCATCAGCCTTGGTTTTCACAACCTTTTCCTTCACGATGGCTAGGTCATGGTCCAGCTGGGCTGCAAGCTGTTTGTAGGTGGCTGCCAACACCTCCCTCGCAGCATCCTCTTCTCTCTTGTCTTGCTCAGCTGTTTGGAGCTTGTCAAACTTGTGCAGGTGGGCCCTGCCAGGGTTGTTTCCTTTTGAATTATATTTGTCAGACCTGGTTAGCTTATAGAAGGATTTGTGTTTTTGTGTGGTTTCACACCGCGAAATAGCCCTCGTCCCGGCCTCATTGCCCCGATGGCTGCCACGTCTCCAGGAGGCACCGAGTTCTGAAGAGCTGCTTGCAGGTCGGCGTCCAAGAACTGATCGAAAAAGGCGGTGTCGAGATCTTTGGACAGACTAGCCCATTCCCCCTCAGGGCACTTGGCCTGGATTCTGGCCTTGAAATGGATATAGCCACCGCAAACCTGGTGCTTGACTTGAGCATCCTTGTAGTTCAGAGCTTTCCGCACATCCGGCGGGCTCCTCTTGAAGTCATTGGTCACCCGCCGCAAGAACAAATGAACCTTCGTTCGCCATCAGGTAACTTGCAAATAGTTCTGATTATTTCCTGTTATTGCTATTGTTCATTTCAAATTATTGGTACCAGTGTTTACCAAAAGTATTTGCCACTGGGTAGCCAGTGGATCATTGGCTTGGGAACCATTGGTCAAATAAGGAGTCCACGCTTCCAAACCCGGAGTTGTCGAGCAATACCCACGGCTGAAGCATTCTTTGGCTATGACGTCGTGGTAAATGAATGCTCTCATCCCAAACATCCGCACTGCTTCCTCGAGCGCGTCTCGGATCTCAGGTAGCATCCCACTACACAGCTGCACGACAGCCTTGCTCTCAGTCTTGCCTATTTGGAATGCCTTGCACACCGAAGTTTCATTCTCCCAGTCCTGCATCAAAGTTTTTTCTGAGGGTGAGAGTCTGACTTGAAACCCCCCAAAAAAAGAGAGGGAGAGTGTGTGGGATAAGAACAGTGAGTGACAAGTCAACACATCCTACCTCAAAGTGGGATTGTGAACTATTCTTGTCGCCGCTCTTCTGCAGGACGCGGATTTGGCGAAGCAAGTTGAAGCAGTGCGGTGCCCTGCGCACCGTCGATTGAAGGGTTATGCCTCGGTAAAGGATGGGGGGTGGGACAGGCTCAGGCACACAATGAAAGATTTACATGACACACCTAATTGGGTTGTTTTTCCTGCTTGACTCAATCATTTTCCGGAAGCACCATAAGACAGAACAAACACCAGAAAAGTCTAGTAGTCTAGTGACCGCGATTGGCAAAGATCTTTGAGCGAAGGGTGTCAAACTCAACGACTGTGCAGTAGATTGTTGCAAAGCTTTCCTATAAAGGTGGAGGCCGCAAAAGAAATCACTCACACACTGTTAGGCTGAAACAGCTTTGCTCCTTGACAAAGGTTGGAACTTTATCAAGACATCCCAGCTCGCGGATAGCTTCGCAGCAAGCCAAAAGGGTCAAGCATCTCCGCCACCCTTTTACAAAGCCAATGTAAAAGGGCGGGATCAGAGCACCTGAGAATTCTATAAGGTACAAAACCCGACAAGTGACATACACACAGTATCACACAATCACAGCTACTTGTTGCAAGCAAACCACTACCGCTGTGCAAAGGCTTGAGGGGACTGTAATCGCTCTCCAACCACTCCGAAGTGACCTTTGCGATAGAGATCTTCTCTACACCTCCAAGATCCGCGTTGGATCTGAACCTAGGCTGGTGGGTCCAATTTTTAGGCCTTCGGGTTTCATCTGATGTAAAGGTGACATGGTTCAGATTGACTCGAAGTAACGATTCGGTGAGAATTAGCTCTGCCAGCAACAAGACCTGTTCTGGCTCAGCACAGCCGGCCAAGCCATGGTCCGATCTCCAACTCAACTGCCAGGGTCGTGCCACACAGGGGCCTTTGTGATCTAACGAAGTGCAATAAGACTGCCTGGGCAAGTGAAGGCTTCGTGAGCCCAAGCAAGAACAACAAATGGTTCACCTTAGGCTGTGGCGAGGGATCTGGCTGGAACGTGGTGTCCAACCACTTGGCAAAATCTTGCATCAACGCCTAACGGTGGTATGAATGAGGTGTGTCCCACATGATCTATAGAACCTGCCCTTTTTGGCGATAGTTAGTTGCGTTGAGATGGCCAAACCCTGCCATAACTACCACGCCTTGTTATGATACTTTTTGGTCAGGTACTTGTCCACTCCACCTTCTGCGATCATATGGTCGTTGATCCTCAGACAGGCCAGAGCCGGAGCAGCGATGTGGGTGTAGGGTTGTAAGCGAGAAGCTTGAAAAGCTGGCTGTAGCAACAAAACGGACACAGTGTTTAAACGAGAAGCCATGTAGTGATATCTTCAACATACCCAAACTTCTTCTTGGCATCACCACTTTTAGGTTGCTTGAGCTTTTGGCTTGGTTGGCCCTGGCTGCCACCCTTGCGCTTTCCCATAGTCGAACGATGCCCTGACCCGGAAACCTATCAAACTGACTATGCACCGACGAGCAAAATGCCTGGCATTCATTATCCAAAGCGATTCTAAACAGCTGCAAACGACAGTGATGGGTCAAGAAACTACCAACTACTTGTAGGGTTGCTTGATCTTCCACGGGACTGTGAAAGGCACTTTTACCATCGAGAGTTCTGCCGCCCCATGCCGATCTGTTCGAGCCTGGGTCACACGGAGATGACCTGAGAGGTGGCGCAGGGCATGGCAGGGGTTTAGAGAGACGAAGACGGCCGGTGTTTCTGTCTGGGGTCTCAGTTACAAGTCCCATAATAGCAAAGCAGTTTGAAGTTTGAGGTGGAGGTGGCCTTCGTCCCCAAAATTTTAAAAATGGTCGAGTTGAAGAACTAATCCTCCGCAATCCGACAGATTTCAAAACTCACCACTCCCATTCCGACGGATTTCAAAACCCACCCCTCCCATTCCGACGGATTTCAACACCCACCACTCCCATTCCGACGGATTTCAAAACCCACCGCTCCCATTCCGACGGATTTCAAAACCCAGATGTCTCATTCCGACGGATTTCAAAAACCAGATCCACCATTCCGACGAATCCTACCTACGATTCATCAGAATGCAAAAATGGATTCATCAGAATGCACAGTCCAACCCCTCCAGAATCCATCACTAGTGAGGCTTGTGTCAAGAGCCTTTGATTCCGACGAAAGACACCTGGCTTTCATCAGACTGGGGACCATCGCCTCAAAATTGGAAAGCCCAGAATTGCTCCCCCAAAACTCTCTCAATTCTGGTGACAGCTAGTCCGACGAATGCTACCTAGCATTCATCAGAATGACAGGTTTTCCGAAGGACCCCAATGGAGGCACAGGTCCGATGAATATGTGAGCCCACAACTCTATGATTCCGATGATTTTTTTTGCACTGCTCGTGTCCTGGATCAGCAAATTAGGCCCGGACTGAAGCTTTAGCTTTAGCTTTAGGCTTTGCTCTAGGTTTTGCTTTGGCCTTAGGCCAAGCCTTCGCTTTCGGGGATGAACCTTGAATTGCCCTTCGGGCAATCGGTAAGGCCTCACTCCAAGGAAGCCCCCATGCCCAAGCTTGTGCCGCGACGTCGTACACCATCATTTTTTTGGCTTCTTCAGAATATCGCACAATGTGTTGCCGATCCGCTTGACCACGGCTTAGCCTCGAAGCTTTGCTTGGGCATTTTGCAACCCTGTTCAAAACACAATCAACACACACTATTTTCTAGTACAGCCGTAGTCCTTCCCCAGACCCCACAGTCAAGGTTTTGGTGGTATCTTGTCATTTAAGGATTCTAGAGTGCAGCAGCTAGCGAAAGAGATTGGCAAGTAAGCTGAAAGGAAGCAAGACACTGTACGATATTCGCTCGTTGAACCAAGGCGTTGGGCGCAAATTGGCTCTCTGCGCTTGTGGAGGTGCCAGCTATGGGTCTCTCGAACCTGGGACGGGTTGGTCGAGATAGAGAAGCATGAATCGGGCCATGATTTAAAAACAGACAGACCCTTGGTGAACTCATACAGTAAGTCTTAGAAACGGTGATATGTCCACGAAGTCGTCGTGTGGGAGTTTCCCCTGGATCCACGCTTCCAAATGATCAGCTGCAAGCTGAAGACCATACTCTGGAATCCGAAGGAGCGGCAAATGCTTCTGCACCATGTCGACGAATTGCACACCCAACGGCCGCTTGGGGCTATCAACTGCCAGGGTTGGCAAGAAGTGTTTTTTGTTCTTTAGACATTGGAAACATTTCATGAAGACTCACAGCGGAAGTCAAAACAAATTAGACCTACATCATGAACCTGTAGGTGCACCGGTGCTGTAAAGAACTTCAGCGACACGGAAAGGGTAGTGCAGAAAATTGCCATTGTAGGTTGAGTCAGCCATGTATTGCTTAGTCCTGAGCATGCCCAAAGGTCTAAATCGAAAAGCACCCCTGCATACCCCTGCCAAACGAATTCTAGCCATCCCATCCCATGAAAGTGGAGACTATGTCATGCTCCAAAGGTCATCATGATGACATCCTTGGGGTCCTCAGGCGCTCGAAACCAGAAGCTGTTGTCCACACCAGCCAGCGAGTCCTGACCTTGGTTGGGCCAAATGTCCTTTTCACGGAATCCTGTTTGGGGCTGTTGGTGACATTATCTATTCTATTTTCGTGTCTTGAAACAACATAATAAGATGTACTGCAGGGCCAATGGTGCAAGCCACTCAAATTCTCACGACGTTGGAATTCGAACCAGTGCGGAGCCCCGGGTCCACTGATGCCGCCCACAAAGACGGGGACCGCCGCTGCCAGGAAGCCACGCCTCACAAAGTACATGAGAATAGAAAGACACTGTATAGAGACCGAAGAGTGAATAGTCAACATGACGTGCTACAAACCATTTGGCGGTACACCAAGAAAAAAGTTACCAAGTTTAGCCCCAGAGTCCAATCACGGACTCGATTCAACTCAAAAGCCAGCCGATAGGGCTCAAATGGAAAGGAACTTTCCTGCAAGAAGTCATTGATCAGGGGAACAAAGTCCTGAGGCCGTAAGGCAAATGGTCTTTTGTGCATCCATGAAGCCAACCGCCCGAAGCATTGGTCAATATCCTCGTGTGAATGGCCTGTCCTTAGACAGGCCAATACACACGAGGCAAAAACTCCTTGAGGGACAGTGTTCCTTTAGTTGTTCCTTTATAGCCTCAGAAATATGGGCCTATTTTGTTGTATACTATTAGTTGGTTGGTTCTTTCTATTCAGCGACATATCATTCAACAGTTGGGATTTAGAGATCAAAACAACAACTCGCTGGTGGGTGTGATCGAACACATTGTCCTCGCGCGGTTTGCGATGATAGGAATCTTGCCACCGTGTTGTTCTTTGTCTCTCGAACACAATTGTCCGATTGTATGTGCAGGTGTGTTCTGGCCAGGTCAAGGTTGAAGCGCTGCTGGACAAGCGTGATCACCCGAGCCAATAGTTCACACGTGTGATTGGAATCTTTGGCAGCGTCACCTCTTGAGATTGAGAAAAATACTCCATAGCCGTGAATCTTCACTGCGCAGATATGTGCCCGAGGCCTAGAGAAATTGGCCCACTGCTTGCCTCCCATGACAGGGGACCGAGGATATCCGAATTTGGCTTGATCCATGCCATCGATTATACACACCAAATTTGGTGTGTGTAGACGGCCACTGGAGCGTATCGCCCAGTACGATGCGCGGTCGCGGTACTGGGCGCGTAAGTGCGCATCAAAGTGGGCACTCTGTTCACGGCGTGCGAAAAGGTTCTGAGCGAAGCTTCGCAGTAGAATGCGATGCCTTTGGCATGTGGAGCACTCCAAATGCTGCCGCTTTGTGCGAAAACGCATGAATGGATATTCAGTCACCCAAGCCTGCAATAATGGGAGGCCATTGTCATCAGCAAGATGGAGAAACAAGAGCCACAAAGGACATACAAATGAAAACGGTCAGCTGTCTAGAGGCAAGGTACTCGGTAGAAAGTGGCAAACGATGGCTTCTTTGCGTATTCCTCTGGATATTGCACCAACATCATTTGATGGTAATCCTTCATTCGCCCTGGAGGCAAGAAGCGCTCTTCTTTCTGATGGTCATGGTTGACTTTGAGTCCCTTTTTGAATCGCCTTGGGCCCTTCCTCTTCACTGGCTTTGCAGAAGCCAAAGCTGCAGCCGGCGGCAACAAGGCTTTCATAAAGGAGGGGTCCTCCTCATAGCCTTCATCATCCTTTGGAGGTCCCAAACTGGTGCCCGGGTCAGGGCCGAGATCACGCTGTTCTGGCAAAGTTTCAGCCACACTGTTGTAGATCCCTTCTAAGAAGGTGACACACTCCGCGTGGCTTTCAGGCTCTTTGTTCAAATTTCGCTTGATGTAACGCAGGTCAACCGGCGCCGAAGCGCTGCCATTTTCCACAGCCTCCCTAATCCGACGGTAACGAAAGTTTCCTGAGTCAGTTGTGGGTGCGGGATCGCAAGTTCCAAGCTAGGTGCCTTAGAATTTGGAAAATAACAAGTTCTCACTAGAACCCAACATAACCCAACGTTCTTTCCGATGCGAATTTAGTCCATGGTTCCAAGGCCATAGATCCTTCTCCAAGCGTTCCCACAGATTCGCTTCCCGAAAAGGACATGCTTCCGGCGCCGAGGATTCGAAGAAGCGGAGCTGCGATCAGTCTCTGTGTATTTGAGGCGCTCAAATACCTGAGAAAGCCAGCGGTGGGTGAATGTTCAGGGAAGCATAAAACGATTTCGATGAGCCCATCCACCAGACTTCCTAAAAACATAGCCATAAGAAACAGTTGGGCTAGGTATATATAGAAACCAGGATGCAAGCTGGTCTTGATCAAGTTTGTGAAGGCTGCGGAAAAGGTGTCTCATGTTCTCAAGATCTTCCAGTTGATCCTTGAACTTGAGGAAGCACGCTTCCTTTGCTTTCTTTCTCTTTTTTGAACATTGGCATACCTGGTTCAAAAGCTTCCGAACATCAGAACCATGTGGGTTTGGGAATGCAGTTGAGCGCCCAGAGCTGTCCGATCGCCTCTTCTTGGTAGGTGGTGGCTTGACAGCTTCCTCTTCGGAGGAGGTCAGCGCTGTAATTGGAGGCAAGGGGTGAGACATGTGGGACAGCTTGAGATAAAAAGTCACGAGGTTGGCGTGTGGCTGACGACATTTTGGTTCGTGCAATGTGTTACTGTTTTTGGAATCAGCGAGCTGACAGCTGACCACAAGTGTCAGCATCTACCCCCCAAGTGTCTGAATCTGGGCACCCGGGCCTCGCTAAACAGCAGCCAAACCACTGGATGTCCGGTTCGCCGAATTAGATCTAAGACTTCAAATTAGGCCGTGCATGTCACCGATGTGCTTCTTGCATGGGAGGTACAATGCATGAAAACAACACCGGTTTCTACCTAGTTGTCATGCTATGTTTTGCTTACGGCATTCGGGCTACCAATTGCAAAGCGGCAGCCGCCTGACAAGGTACCACTACATTACCGCAGGCATGAGTTCGATCATTCCATTCATCGTCAGGTTCATCCAACAACCAGCGTGCCAGAGGTTGCTTGTTCAAGGGATTGAACTCAGAAGGCAACAGGCTTGAAAGTGGACGAAGCTCCAAAGCCTGAACCATCCACAGGAACCCAACTTGGTTTGATCAAAGAAAGAGGCATCTAGCCACCTTGAACAATTTGAAGCCGGGCTGATGGGCGAAGACAAAGATGCGATCGCGACCCGCCTTGCAAAACCAATCGTTTTCACAGGTCACAGTGTAAATGAATCAAGAAGGCCCAAATATTCCTTGCCACTTTCGAAGCTTGAAAGTCTTGAGTCTTAACCCATCAAAACCACGGGGTCCGATCCAAGCTGTGCCAGGCCCACCGCCAAGCCGACATGCCGCAACTGCAGCGTAGCCCAGCGCACTTCAAACCCAAGGGACTGGAACTCCTGAATACGTGTCCAAAGTGTCCGTTGCGAAGTATAGCTTCAAAAAGAATTTGTTTTACAATCGATCCTCATATTAGCAGCAAACACCACTATGATCAGTTTCATCCAGTTGTAGTATTGCAAAGTAACTTTGAAGAAGTAGTTGATGGCTTGGGCCCTCAGATATCCTGCACCTCGTGACTACCATTGACTACCCCCATCCTGGATGATGTACCAGAACAATTTGCGCTGGTCATTCGCCAGCAATGCTTTCACGTTCTCCAGAAAAGCGAACAACCTCACATAGCATCATCAAACAGTTAAATTCAAGGGAGGACATGAGTTGAGGAATCCACCCTCGCTGACCCATCTCCTTCAGCACCCTAAAGACATGGACGATCAAAGAACTCCGTGGGTCGTCCAGGCCCAGGCCGCTGCCTGCGCCGGAGACTCCCTGGCGCAAGTTGGACGCAACTTGTCAAAATGGCAAAAAGGGTGGCAAAATGACAAAAACAGTCGTGTTCATTGTCATCTATTTCCGTCATGTTGTTTCCATTGAGTCTTTCATCAAAACCCCAAATACAGGGCCTGAATGGGCCTGATAAGTTGATAACTCACACGGCATGTGATTTGTTTCTTGGTTCCGGGGACTGGCAACATGACCACCCATGAAACTCCCTTTTGCTTTTGGTCATGAAATTTGTCAAAGCCATCTCAAGGAGGAAGCCACCATGGGGAAACAAACCCTTAAACAATAATGCCTTTGTCAAGCACACTGAACAAGACTCCGTCATTGTTTTTCTTGCGACAGTTGCATGAAAGAGGAATGACCTAACAAAAAATTTAGCCTGGCCCTATATAGTGATCTTTCAAAGGGTGTAGCATGGTGCAGGCTCCGTCGCAATAAAACGAAAGGTTCTGAAGCCGAAGTTCCTTGCAGGCAAACATGTCCACATGGGCCTGGCACGGGAATCCACCACCAATGCCTCGAGCTCCAGATCTTGTGGCCTGGTGGCCTGTCAAGGTCTCCACATCATTATGGATTTCACATGTCGGGAGAAGCTGGTCGTTCATGCGGGCAGCAAGAACTGACCGACAGTGCTGGTTGTTCTCAACCTGGGAGGACTCAAAGGTAAAGATAGAAAAAACAACTGCGAATTAATATAACACAGTTTTGAGGTGATGGCCATCAAGGTTGGATACATGATCCTGAGGGAGTTCCACACAAAGGCCAAAAACACAAATATTGAGCAACGTTGCAGCATCAGAGACGAGGCCCTGGCTCCGACAATCCTAGCTCCAAGCCTCCGATTCCGGTGAAAAGACTCACCATTGGCCACTTGTTGACCTTGAAGGAAAGCGGACACCCTAGTCGAGGCCCAGCAGAGATTGACTTGGGACCCCGAGCGTGAGACTGGACATGGGGGAAGGCAGCACGAAAGTGTGCTACGTTGACCGAATTGGGGCGTGTCGATGTCCACCCAACAGGGAGACCTGAACGTCAGGAATACGCTTCGTGAATTTTGATAACCGGTGAAAAATGAGCTTCGAACCAGAGAAGTATTCACAGACTTCAGCTGCGAGGAAGGTTCCTGGTGCCTTCGATCCTAAGGCATCACGGTAGTCACTGGAGAACCTGATGACATTGGCCAAGTCCTCAGGTGTTGGCATGGGGAGTTTCACTCAAAGTATCGTGATTCATCAAGGGCGCGGCGTTGATGCCGCGTTCTGTGACTCCATTTGATGTCGCGCGCAAACATGCGCCAAAACAGCCTTGGCCACACTGCAGCCAGACAATTAGCACCTCTTAGCACCTGACGGAGAGCTGGCCAAGCCCTCACCACCTTCTTGCCTTTGAAGAGCACCGATTTGTTTTTTCTCAGGGTTTTCGACTTCGAGGTGTTCTCCGAAACCTTAGAGATGCGCAACCATTCAAGGACAATGAGTTTGCCGGCAAGCTATGGCTCCAGCCACCATGATAGACAGCTTCTGGGCCACTGGGAGCTTGACCTACCACCCGTCTTGCCCGAAAAATGAAGACCCAACCAAACACGGCAAACCTTCAGTGCTGCCATGTCAAAGGTGTTCTTCTTCTTGCTCTCCCCAAGGATACTTCCAAACAAAGGAAGCTTTTCCTGCACCAAATGTGTAGAATCTTGAAATCAATTCAAGGACCCATTTTGTTGCACACAATTCACATCCTCAGAACCCTTCTGGATAGTCTTCCTAACAGTCTTGGGGCCGCTTGCAACCACCTAAGTTTGTTGGAAATCAAAGATGACATTTGGTGTGAAGGGCCATTTGAGATACTGGCCGGTCTTCTTCGCGTGGGTGCCATTGACTCCTCCGACCTGCGCACTGCTTCCAAGGCCAAGCGATTGGAGAAAGTTGGGCGCACCCTGAGGCTCGAGCTCACTGGTGTCGCTGAGGGAGGAAATTGCGGGCAGTAGAGACATCCAACCAGGATGTTCCTGGCCCTACCTAATCACGGCCTGCAGCCAAAAACCTGTTCCCAAGAAAAAAACGGGATTTATCAGATCACTCGCTAATGGTCCGTTGGTTTGGATTTCCCTTAAGCATGTGAAATCATGAGAACCCTCAAAAGAGCTTTCCTCCGAAGTCGGGCAATGCAAGTTGCGAAGTGAATTGTACACGAGCTTTGCACGCACAATAAAGCAGCCAGCCACAAGCGGCTCTGCGTGAATCGGCTAGTGTTTCCTTGAATTAAAAACAGCAGTATCTCAGAAATAGGTTGCATCCATTCGGCGCAACTTTTTGGTAGGTGGCGCAGGGTTTAGATTTTCTTTGTCTTCTTCTTCCATCACAGGTTCGTAGATTTGGTATTGTTGCTCTTCCTCCGAAGGTACTGGTTGAACTAGCTTTCCAAGAGCCAAGCTTTCGAGGACCCATCCATCGAGCTCTTTTTCCTGCGTGTTTGCTCCCGACTCGGAAGCCAACTCACACACACACACGAAACAAGTTAGTGCCTCATCTCTTGTCAACTTTCCAAGGGCTATCTTCACTTGGCTCTCTAGGAATTTCAGGCTGTCGCTTGCTTCAGTGATTGAAGCGAGCTCAGCTTCACCTGAAGTTCCGATTTTGGTGAATTGTGAAGACAAGTCGTGTTTCTGGGGTGCAGGCGGGCTCTCAAAAGGTCTATCCTGGGCAAGTCTAGGGACCAAGACTTTCAAGGTTTAAATTCTACTGCAAGGTCCTCAGGATCTAGCTGGTTCCGAAATCTTAAGCAGATCCATTGCCATTGCTGCCTTTTCA